ATACAACTGTTGCTGTGTCCGGCACTGGCTGATTGATGTATGACTAACACACAGACCGGAGAGAAGGAACAACAAATCTGTCATCAGATGGTGGATAGCCAACATCAGATGGTGGATAGACAACATCAGATGGTGGATAGCCAACATCAGATGGTGGATAGACAACATCAGATGGTGGATAGACAACATCAGATGGTGGATAGCCAACATCAGATGGTGGATAGCCAACATCAGATGGTGGATAGCCAACATCAGATGGTGGATATCATCCACTTAATGGATGGTATGTTACTTGCTCAATTTATATCAAAATTTGCGGCAAAACTTAACAATGTCTAGGTATTCACAAGGTTAGAATGAACATCAACATTGGGGAGGGAGGGGGATTACAGGTGATATGATCAGACACAGCCGTCATAATACAGACACAATTTGTAATCCCTTCGTCACCATCGGCACACCATCACAGCTGACGTCCCAGCACATCAACACAATAACGTGATTGTGTTGTCCCTAGCTAGGTGCTACACCAAAAACTTAGGCTCTACCATGACATTAGACAACAAATCCAATGTCATTCACTTTACGACATAACCAACCTTAACCCCACACCGACCAACCCTAACCCCACACCCACACCGACCAACCTTAACCCCACACCGACCAACCTTTACCCCACACCGACCAACCTTAACCCCACACCGACCAACACTATCCCCACCGACCCCCACACCGACCAACACTAACCCCACATCCATACCGACCCCCATACCGACCCCCACACCGACCAACCTTAACCCCACACCGACCAACACTATCCCCACCGACCCCCACACCGACCAACACTAACCCCACATCCATACCGACCCCCACACCGACCAATATTCCAGGTAAAAAAGCAGCTGATGATGAACAAAACGCAGACGACGCTCGTAGAGTGAAGGTCATGCTGACCTGTCAAAACGCCCACCAAATAAAAAATATCGATCCAGGCGGCTCGTTATTGGCCTGATAAAGTAATCGTTGAACGCTGGGTAATCGAATACAAAAAGTAAAACCACAGGCAGTGAGGAGCTTGGCTGGAGGTGTGTACAAGGTGTACAGTTGGCTGGAGGTGTGTACAAGGTGTACAGTTGGCTGGAGGTGTGTACAAGGTGTACAGTTGGCTGGAGGTGTGTACAACGTGTACAGTTGGCTGGAGGTGTGTACAAGGTGTACAGGAGACCAGAGACACAGTGTCATGGAAGTGATGTGTCGGACACATACACAGGGTCACTGACTCACCGACACACATAACAACACAGCGACAAACACACAACACAACGACAAACACACCACACAACACAACAACACACACCGACAAACGCACCACACAACAACACACACAGCGACAAACACACCACACAACAACAACACACACCGACAAACACACCACACAACAACACACACCGACAAACACACCACACAAAAACACACACCGACAAACACACCACACAACAAGACACACACCGACAAACACATCACACAACACACACACACCGACAAACACACCACACAACAACAACACACCGACAAACACACCACACAACAACAACAACACACCGACAAACACCCCATAACAACAACACACACACCGACAAACACACCACACAACAACAACACACCGACAAACACACCACACAACAACACACACCGACAAACACACCACACAACAACAACACACCGACAAACACACCACACAACAACACACACACCGACAAACACACCACACAACAACAACACACCGACAAACACACCACACAACAACACACACACCGACAAACACACCACAACAACAACACACCGACAAACACACCACACAACAACACACACACCGACAAACACACGACACAACAACAACACACACAGACAAACACCAAGAGACACACAGCTCGCCAGTTTAATGTGCCGGCATTTAATCGATGTTGACCCCGTGATCACGTGACCTGAGACTGATCTGGTCTATTCCAGGGGAAGGGGGGGGGGGGGAGGAGCGGGGGTCATGAATTTATAAAAAGATTTTTATTGCCATGATTTCGTAACAGGAACAATAGGCAAGACTGAAGTGTGGGGAATATGTGAGGGTCATGTGTGGGGAATGAGTGTGGGTAGTGTGTGGGGAACATGCTACAGTCATGTGAGGGTAGTGTGTGCGGAATATGTGAGGGTATTATCTGAGATTTGATGATCGATCTATACGTTGAGTTGATGACGTCATACGGTTAATTGCTTTGGACTAAGTGCCTGTATACTACATGTGTGTGATGCCTTTCTCAGGCGGTGCTTTGTTGAACAGGTGTATTGTACAGGTATTGTACAGGTGTTGTGTACGTGTTGTATAGGTATGTTGTACATGTGTGTGTTGTTTCAGGTAGCAAGAAGTGAATACATTTATAACCAACGTAAAAAAAAGCCCAACACCTACACTTTTGAGTCAATTTACATCAATACATTCAAATATTTTATAGTGAAATAGTTTTTAAAAGAACTTAAATGCCAGTGTACGTGTTGGTTACTGCCCCTGTTAGTGTTGGTTACTGCCCCTGTTAGTGTTGGTTACTGCCCCTGTTAGTGTTGGTTACTGCCCCTGTTTGTGTTGGTTGCTGCCCCTGTTTGTGTTGGTTGCTGCCCCTGTTTGTGTTGGTTGCTGCCCCTGTTTGTGTTGGTTGCTGCCCCTGTTTGTGTTGGTTACTGCCCCTGTTTGTGTTGGTTACTGCCCCTGTTTGTGTTGGTTACTGCCCCTGTTTGTGTTGGTTACTGCCCCTGTTTGTGTTGGTTACTGCCCCTGTTTGTGTTGGTTACTGCCCCTGTTTGTGTTGGTTACTGCCCCTGTTTGTGTTGGTTACTGCCCCTGTTAGTGTTGGTTACTGCCCCTGTTAGTGTTGGTTACTGCCCCTGTTAGTGTTGGTTACTGCCCCTGTTAGTGTTGGTTACTGCCCCTGTTAGTGTTGGTTACTGCCCCTGTTAGTGTTGGTTACTGCCCCTGTTAGTGTTGGTTACTGCCCCTGTTAGTGTTGGTTACTGCCCCTGTTAGTGTTGGTTACTGCCCCTGTTAGTGTTGGTTACTGCCCCTGTTAGTGTTGGTTACTGCCCCTGTTAGTGTTGGTTACTGCCCCTGTTAGTGTTGGTTACTGCCCCTGTTAGTGTTGGTTACTGCCCCTGTTAGTGTTGGTTACTGCCCCTGTTAGTGTTGGTTACTGCCCCTGTTGGTTACTGCCCCTGTTAGTGTTGGTTACTGCCCCTGTTAGTGTTGGTTACTGCCCCTGTTTGTGTTGGTTACTGCCCCTGTTAGTGTTGGTTACTGCCCCTGTTAGTGTTGGTTACTGCCCCTGTTAGTGTTGGTTACTGCCCCTGTTAGTTACTGCCCCTGTTAGTGTTGGTACGTGTCAAATGTCTGAACCTAACCCACCATTGCAACAGACAGCTCCCTGACATTTTGAAAGGTTAGAGAAACCAGAGACGTCAGCACTGGCCTGACGAGAATGGAACCAGTCAGCTGACCTCTCAACTTTGACACGGATGTGGAACATGTTGCTGGAACATTGACCCCCGGAGTTTTGTCTGCGCAGCAAATATCAGGCTGCAACACTCGGCATTCAAGTTCTAGCATTTGGTGCTGTTGTCTTGTGCTTAGACAACAGGTGTGAACTTTAATTCACGGTGTGGTGTGTGAGAGAGAGAGCTTTAATTCACGTGTCATGTGTGTGAGAGAGAGAGAGAGAGAGAGAGAGAGAGAGAAATAGAGGGGGGGGGGGGATGAGAAATGTGTTAATTTTTTAAAAAAGCCAACAATAAAAGCAAAGTGCAGGACAATGAGGTTTGACCAGGGACAATACAAAACGCTTCAGGTACACAACACTACCACACCCACAACATAGCCACACGGCTCTGTGGTACACAATGGTATGTTGGTAATGGTCACGTGACCGTGGCTATAGGCTCCAGTTTTGTGTGAGGAGGGGGGGGGGGAACGAGTGTGGGTACACCATCACCGCGCCAGTATACGCTACAACAGCACGGTCAGACTAAGGTATGAGAGAAATTCATTGGTCTAGACAGGCTCTAGTGCTAGGGTTAGCGTTGGTTTAGTGGTCGGGTTATGTTTTAAACATGTAGCTGCACGCCCCCCCCCCCTCCGGGTCTTTCATCTGGGCATGCCCTGCATCCCGCCCCTAAATTTATCTTATCTGCCATGCAGGCAGGGATGGGCATGGGGCCAATTGTTTGCTACAACACATGCACGCACACACAGGCGGCAGCGATCAAGTGAAAAAAAGAACACAAGGGTTACTTCCCTTTCAAAGATAGGAAAGTTGTCAATTAAAACTAGAGTGATGGCCCTTGAGAGATGAACAAGCTGATAGAGCCTGTAGGTTACAGTGGGGGGGGGGGGGGGGGGGGGTGAGTTGGACAAGACAAGATCACTCAACACAATCACACAGTCAGTGCTCACTAGCTCGCACGTGTTTCTGACGTGCGTACATGACTTCATTACATAATTAGCTTGCTTTAATTGACCGAAAAGTTAAAACATGAGATCGTGAAACAAAACTCACCGTTCCTAAATGAAAAGTTCAGTAACGACATGACCCGCTGATTACAGTTAATTAATTAATCTACCGGTGTCTTCAGCACGTCTCCATTGATCGACAATGTGGCTGTAGATCAATACAGCATATGGGCGATATA